CATCGCCCCAATTCCGTGGATAAGCGCACATGGTTAGCATGCTCGCCGTATCGATCCGAAGGGCGTCCATAATGGCCCACGCAGGCCCCCAAACTGCCCCTAAGATGACCCCAGTGGGCCCCAATACGGCCGAGCAAACGCCCACTGGTGCCCAAGGGGGCCCCCCGAGATCGCCAGCGTGCTCCGCAGAGAAACTCCTCCTCGGATTCCTGATCCCGCTCGTCCCCCTTGCCCGCATCAATCCTGCTCCTCCTCCGCCGAACAACCTCTCTCGGAACCTCTCTCAGAACCTCTCTCAAAACGTCTCAGAGGCTCTCTCAAAGGCTCTCACAACCTCTCTCAGAACCTCTTAGAGGCTCTCACAACCTCTCTCAGAACCTCTCAAAGGCTCCCAGAGGCTCTCAGAACCTCCCAAAGGCTCAAAACCTCTCAGAACCTTGCAGAATCTCTCAGAGGCTCTCAGAAGCTCTCAGCACCTTGCAGAATCTCTCAGAAGCTCTCAGAGGCTCTCAGAACCTTGCAGAATCGCTCAGGAGGCTCTCAGAGGCTCTCAAAACCTTGCAGAATCTCTCAGAGGCTCTCAGAACCTTGCAAAATCTTTCAGGACCTCTCAGCAGCTCTCAGCACTTTGCAGAATCTCTCAGAGGCTCTCAGAACCTTGCGGAATCTCTCAGCGGCTCTCAGCACCTTGCAGAATCTCTCAGAGGCTCTCAGCACCTTGCAGAATATCAGAGGCTCTCAGAGGCTCTCAGAACCTTGCAGAATCTCTCAGAAGCTCCCAGAGGCTCCCAGAACCTTGCAGAATCTCTCAGAGGCTCTCAAAGACTCCAGAACCTTGCAGAATTTTCAGAGGCTCTCAAAGGCTCCAGAGCCTTGCAGAGACTCGGAGCCTTTCGGAGGCTCCCAAATGGTTGGGATCTCACCCGTCCCACGTGTCCTTGACGGTTGGGATCTGAACCGTCCGGTTTGGATCTGAACCGACCGGTTGTGATCTGAACCTTTCTCGGAGGGGTTCCGTGGGGGGGTCCCAGGGAGGGGGGGGGGGGGGGTCAGATACGCATCCGCCCCTGGGCGTCCCGGAGCCCAAAAAGCGCCAAGACGCGCCAAGAGGGCCCCAAGAAGGCACAAGAAGAGGACCATGAACCGACATGTCGAGCTTCCCGCCCCAAGAACCCCCCGAAGGCCCCAAGAGTTACTCAAGGGGCCCGAAGAGGCCCCCAAGAGACCCCAAGAGGCCCACCAGAGGCCCCAACAGGCCCGAAAACATCCAAGAGGCCTTTCAACCACAACCCCAGCACGGTGGCGGGAAGGGCCGCAAGCCACAAGGCTTCCTGTCTGTCTCTGCTACGACTCCCTCGGCCCACATGGGGAACATCTCCTCCGCCTTCTCCTGCTGCCTTCCACCTTAATCCCCCTCCTCATCCTCCTCTTCGTATTGTCATATTCGCCATCGTCGTCTTCAGTGTCGGTGGCACCGGCCGTAAGGCCTTAGCAATCTGACATCGCACCTTTTCTGAACCTCCTATCCTGCCTCGCTATGCTGTCCACCCGTCTTGCAGATCTCCCAAGCATCCCAGCCGTCTCTAGTGTCCGGAACACTTCGGGCCCTGGACTGGGCAGCCATCCGGAACACTTCGGGCCCTCCTCCTCGTCCTCCTCATCCTCTTCTTTTTCTTCTTCCTCCTCCTCCTCCTCCTCCTCCTCCGTCCTCCTCCTCCTACCAGCGATGAGACACCAGCTCCTGGGGTTGCCCAGGGATTCAATGACCTCCGTCGGAAAAAAAACAACGATGGGCGTCAGAGGTCTGCAGAGGAAGGCCCGGACCCCTGACGTCGCGAATTTCATAAGTCCTGGATCCGCGGAGGTTTTGACCCTTCCCCAAGGTGGGCTTTTCACGTTGGGTCGTTGCTGACGGACCCAAGGCTCGGCAAGGGCCCGCCGAGGCCCAAAATGGCCACGAGGGGCTCTGGGGGAGGATTAAGAGCAACGGAAGGGTGGGGGGGACGATGGGGAGGAGGAAATGGAATGGCAACGCCAAGGGTTGTGGGCAGACAGCCGTTGCCCCAAGGGCGGGGTCTGTTGAGGATATCCAGGGCTACCCCCCGGGACTGCCATTTGCACAGCCCCAAGCCTTGCCAACGAGGAAGGGGGAGTATGAGGAAAGAACCTCGCTAGGAAGGTCCTGAATTCGCCCTTGTCGAGTTCGCCATTCCCGCTAGTGTCGACCCTCTTGAAATAATCAACCACCTTGGGAAAAAGGTCGGAGGAGGAGGAGGTGTCACAATGGGGTGAGAACGAGAACCTGGAAACTTATTGCGGAAGATGGAACAGGGAGAGGGGTAGAGGATGGAGGAATGGTGAGGGGGAGGGCAAGAAACACGTGGCGGAAGAAATTATCCCAGTGCGACCCGGCGTAGGAGTTGGAGCATCTAGGAAAGCAACATCTACATCTACACCGACAGCTACATTCACATCTACAAATGCATCTACATCTACATCAACATCAACAGCGAGACTCACATCTACATCTACATCTACACCCACATATACACCTACATCTGCATCTGCATCTACATCTACATCTACATCTACATCTACACCTACATCCACATCTACACCTACGTCTACATCTACACTTTCGCATTGGTTTTGCTTTTGCTTTACATTGCCTTGCCTTTGCTTTTGCTTTTGATTTTGCTGTTGCGTTTGCTTTGCTGTTGTTTTGTTTTTGCTTGACTTTGTTTTTGCTTTGCCTGCGCACACACACACGCATGTTTTCGCATTCGCTCACCGGGTGGGCTTGAGAATGCTCCGTATCTGGTCTGTGTTATGCTAGGCTATGCTGCGCTATGCTGCGCTATGCAATGCTATGCTATGCTATGCTGCGCTATGCAATGCTATGCTATGCTATGCTGCGCTATGCTATGCTTTGCTGTGCTATGATATGGTATGATGTGCTATGCTGCGCTATGCTATGCTATGCTATGCTATGTTATGCTGCGTTATGCTATGCTATGCAATGCAATGCTATGCTATGCAGCGCTATGATATGCTATGTTATGCTATGCTGCGCTATGCTATGCTATGCTATGCCATACTATGCTATGCTATGCGATGCTGCGCTGTGCCATGCCAAGCAAAGCTATGCTATGCTATGCTGCGCTATGCTATGCTGCGCTGTGCTATGCTATGCTATGCTATGCTGCGCTATGATATGCTGCGCTATGCTATGCTATGCTATGCTACGCTAATGCTAATGCTGCGCTAAGCTAAGGTGGGCTAAGCTAAGCTAAGCTAGGCTAGGCTAAGCTAAGCTAGGCTAGATTAAGCTAAGCTGAGCTACTATAAGCTAAGCTAAGCTAAGTTAAGCTAGGCTAAGCTAAGCTGAGCTAAGCAACGCTAAGCTAAGGGGACGTAGCTGGGGGAACCGCGGGGCGGATCCTGAGGGAACCGCCCGGGGCGAGGAACACTGCCCGGCCCTTTAAGCACACAGAGTAAGAACCCTTCTAGGCAGAGCCTAGGTAGGGAACAGACGGAAGAAGGAGTAAAGGGAGCGGGGGGGTGGGGGGAAAGAAGGATTAGAAACGCAAAGGCTTGGGACGACGCGGCTGTTTCTCCTCGAAGGTCAAAGGGAAGTTTGGGCAACCTGCGCGGTTGTCCGACACCGTTGGGGACAATCTGGGTGACCGTCCGACGCGGGACAACCAATAACCCAATAACACGGGCACGGGTGGCGTTCGAGTTTTGTGTTCCAATGTAATCTGCCGTTCAAACGCCGACACCGCAACCCAACTTCCCAAGGATGTCCTCTCCACTTTACCGAACGTGCCAACCGCAACGCGCATTTACAACACCGCAAGGAGACAACACCTGCTACACCCCGAAGCCAATAATACCGTTGTCAGAGCAAAATGAAATATGTAATCTCGAATGTCATTGTACAGCGACCCCTCGCAGAGTGTCCATTTGATCGGCTCTGCGAGACGCTAGTGTGGGCGAGCATCAACGCATCAACTCAGTCTGCACGACACCAACGCTGCAGCGAACCGCTGCAACTCCGGGGCCTGACCCAAAATTCTGGGAGGCCCGAAAATGGGCACCAGAACAAACACAACGGGTTGCCTCCACAGGGGGAAGATGATCCCAGATTTCGGTGTTGGTGGTAATATTTCGGTCACCTTGGCAGCCAGAATGTTACCACCGTCACCGAGATCGGGATCTTCTTCCCTTGGGGGAGGCACACCGCCGAAATTGGTGTGGGTGTCAACCTCTAGGCCTGCGAAATTCTGCTGCGCTTCCAGCCGCATGGCAAGTATGGGCGACGACATTCGGCATCGCTCAGATATCCAGCCCTCGTGCCTCATTGAGCTCAATCCTCGAAACTCGGGAGCTTCTTCTCGAGTTCTTTCTCGGCGTGCCAATGACATTGGCGATGCTATGGGCGGGGGGAACTTGGCCTGCGACGCCTCCGAGATGAGGTTTCTGGGGGCGCAGCCCTTCGTCGTCAGGCCTGCGCGCATGTGTCGCACCCTGGAGTTTTTGGACCTGTTTCGTCGACGCGTGTCGGCCAGCCACCGAGGGCGCCCGGCTGCGCAATTCTCGGACGGCGGCTTGGCCAGGTCCACCACGAGCAGCGCGGATAACGCAACCGCGCCGCCGATGACGACATCTGCAGAGGCTGCGCGCCCCCTCCTTCGAAGCCTGCAGGGCTTGCCGGGCAAGGCATGGCCGCGCTTCATCTCGGGGTGCGTCGGCAGCCGGGCTAGCAATCTGTCCGCGGCCCCACAGGCAGCCAACGCTTGCAAGCCATAACTCGATGTGCGTGCCAACTGGTGAAACATGGCCACTGCGTCCAACAGGTTGCAAACATCCTTGCTGGACGGGCGGCGGCAGCCTATTCTCATAGAGGCTGATCCTCACGCCGCATGATTGCTCCCCTTCCCTCTCGAAAGGGCCGTCGCCGCGAGCCGTCAGTTCCTCGTCGCCCATGGCGGCGCGCGCCGTGGCCAAGACCGCGCTGTTGAGCTGCGTCGCGCGTCAGATGAGCAGCTGTTTCTGGCCCCCTGCAGCGCCGCAGCGCGCGCGGCCGCGCGGTGCTCGGCAGTGCTCGGCGAGCAGCGCGTGCGCGACTGCCCCCATCAAACTCACAAACAAATCAGGTAGCGCACCCTCCGCCTCTTGGTCCGCTGTTGCTCTCGCCAAGCAACCTTGCTTGACGGCGATGAGCGCGTCGACGTGATGAACCCGGTTCATCGCCGCAGAGCAACTGGCGCTTCGCTGCTGACGAACGCCGCAGTTCGGGATGGATTCGTGCCCCCCTTGACACTGCTGATTACCTGCCTGGCGCGCGCTATCAGCTGGCCGACCTTCTTCTGCCTGGTGATCCTAAGATCGCCAACGTGCATGCTCAGCATCAACGCCAATCCCATGCTGGAGGTGCCAGCGGGCGAGCCACCAGTCGTCTCGTGCGCGACAGTGGTGCTGGTGGCCAGGCAGACAGTCGCCTCGCGACCTCGTGCATAACCTCCAGATCGGGGCCCCGCGTCGCGGGCTGAATGCTGCGCTCCTTTGACCTCGTCGTCTGGCAAACTCCGTGGATGACGATGACGCCGCCAGGTCCCAGGCTCGACGCATCGCGGCCGCTCCAGGTGCCCTTTGAACTTCTCGTGCCCTGGTGCCTGTCGTAATATAGCTGCACTGCCTGGCGGCAGCGTGAAATTCACCCCGCGAGGCGCCTCGACATCGAATTCGCGCATCTCCTCGTGCGTCAACCCCTGCAGGAAAGCTTCCTCGACGTCCGCGGTCGCGCGGGCCCGCTCTGGCCCGCGCGCCAATTCCGATGAACACAAATGCTGGGATGCCCACTGGGACAAACTTGCGATCGTTTTCATAGTGTACCTTTTTGGGCCAATGCTCATGCAAAGCGCTTCCGCCAATGCTCCCGATGCTGGTCCTGTCTTGCGTTTTGGTGCCTGTCTAAGGTATTTCATTTGCCCTGTTTGATGGTTCTTAATGGAGATGGTGAACACGGGGGGTGCGCGCGCGTTTGAAGGAGTCAGCCCTTATTCTTGCTGCTGTCCCGTCACTTTCTGCTGGGGTGCAAAAAAAATCGCGGCTTTGGTCTTCGCCTTGCGCTTGCCGGCGAGCCGCCAGTTCCCAAGGCTTTGCTAATCTCCTCCACCAACGCCTCTGTGTTTCCCCACATCCAAAGTGGGGTTCTTGTTTTCTGTGGACACCCCGGGCAGGAACAGGAACAGGAACACCCACTCACCCGCGCACGCTCACTTACTCCCTCAAACACTCATGCATTCACTCACTCACTCACTCAACCACTCACCCGTTATCATCACTCATTATCATCAGCATCGTCATTGTCCTCACCACGCCACCATCACTCATCATCACTCATCATCATCATCATCATCATCATCATCATCATCATCATCATCATCAGCATCATCATCATCATTACTCATCAGCATCATCAACATCAGCTTCAGCATCACCAACACCATCATCCATCGATCATTCACCATCATCGTCAGGCCTGAACATGGAGAATGTATCAGGCGGGAGCCTCGTCTGTGACTGACGTGCGAGGAAGTCTCAGGTGGGACCCCCCTCCGTAAGGGGCCCGCTGATCATGTTACGAATCCGTGGCGTGTCATACAATTCTTGTAAATATAGTCACGTTTGGGTTTCTCTTGCCTGAATATGGAGGAAATATCAAGCGGGGGCCTCGTCTGTGAGTGAATTGTGAGGAAATCCCAGGCGGGAGCCCCTTCCCTAAGGGGCCCGCAGATCATGTTACGAATCCGTGCGGGTCATGGAATTAGGGTAACTGTCGTCAATTTTGGGCTCCTCAGGCCTGAATTTGGAAGATGCAGTATCAGGTGGGGACCTCGTCTGTGAATGATTTGCGGGCAAATCTCAGGCGGCCCCCCCCTCCGTAAATGTGCCCGCATATCATGTTAAGAACCCGAGGCGGGCCATGCAATTCCTTTCACTGCCGTCACTTTGGGGTTCCTCAGGCTTGAATTTGGGGCAAATATCAAGCGGAGGCATCGCCTGTGAGTGACTTGTGAAGTCAGGCGGGAGCCCCTCCCTGGGCCCAGACTTCATGTTATAATCAGGGGCGGGCCATGGAATTCTTGAAGCTTTCGTCACTTGTGGGTTCCGTTGGTAGTCCGAGCGGGTCCTTCGATTCCTGTAGCTGCCGTCGCTTTTGGGCTCTTCAGGTCTGAATT